GCAAAATACCCCACTGCCCAATCAGGGAGCACAGATGTGGTCACATGTTATGGGACTACATTTCCCATAAGGTAGTTGTATTTCCCATGAGATAGTTGCTTAAAGGAGACAGCTTCTAATTCTTAAATTGGCTATATACTGTTGGGACAGCACAGGGGGGGAAGTCCTGATACGTCATGTGATGCTGCCGTGACGACATGAGTTTGACACCCCTGCTCTAGATCTCCAACTCATCCTTTTATGCCTCCTTTTCCCCTTTTCTGACATCAGCATTTTAAAATTGGAAAATAACATCCCTGGAGTTTTTTATGAGTCTAGAATGGGCATTGCTAAGGGGGCACTGTAGAAGCTACATAGAGAGCCAATGTTTCTACCATCCACCATTCAGCCGTCACTTATAACCAAAGAACCATAAAAAACTCAGACAAGTTGCCCCTTAGGCCATAGAAAGGCCTGATACAGTGGAAATAAGAGTGGCTTCATCTGAGTCCTTAACAAAGATTCTTATTAGATAAGCACTGTCAAGGGCTTTAGCCAAATTTGAGCTGGGGAACTTATCTGTTTCTCATTCTCTAAAAATGGACTATTTTGAAAGAAGAGTTCTAGCTTACTCCCTTGGCAAGGTCATATTCATAATGAATGTAAGGGTTTCACCCATTTCACTACTCTTTAGTTAGCTAGGATACAAATCTATACTGCAGCATTTCAGAATTCTGATTGGGAGCTAAATGCTCTACCATATTAAATATTCTCCCTCCTAAAGATGGTTGCATTTGTTGAGAAATAAATTTAAAATGTGTTGGTTTATATCAGAGTCTTGAATGTTTTCTTGAATTTAAGTGTGAGGATATTGCATTAGGGATAAAGATACCTCTCCTTTATACATTCCTTCCCCTTAAAATCTCTCCATCTCAATTTACATGTTGACAGCTAGAGTAGCCTTGAGGGCAACATCCAGTTGCTTTTGCAAATCAAAGTTCAACGTATTAAGTATTCTAGTGTTGGTCATGCTTGTTGAGCTGTAGGTTCAAAAGGTTAAGAAGATATCACGATAACAGCTATGCCAACTGCTTCATCTTTGTAAGTCCAAAAGATGAAGCAGATAAGGGAAAAGCAACAACCATGTGGCAATAGAGACGAAAGCTGCCAATGAGACTTCAGTAATGAAGGCTACTTATATTTATGGGAAGGCATAAAGACTAGGAGAATCTCCAACCAAAATGAAGATAGAAGCCACAGAGCTGGATTCTATTTCAGAGGGTTGAATTCAAGGAAGGGATTAATATTAAAAACCCATAAGCCAAAACCCCAGAGAAAGAGAAGGAGGAGAATGAAGGGGAAGAGGAGGAGGAAAAGGAGACAAAATGGTAGACATGCCTCCTGCAGGAAATCGCCAGTCCCTGAAGCTTCCACATAGCACATATATTTTGTTCCTACTCTTGGATGCCCTAAAATGACGAAAACATTGACAGCTCTGAGAAGGTCTCAATATCAGTGAGAAATCAATTGTATTGATGCAATTGAAACATCAGAAGAAGTGGATGAATTTCTCCTTAGCGTCTTCCTGCACCTTTAATTTCCCTTGTTTAGATTAGGTTGAACCAGTCTTATAATAAATAACATGTTCAGTTTTCAGGCTGGTTTGATTATTGAGTCTTGTTTGCAAACTTTGCTTTAAAAGAACTCAAGAGATACATTGGAATATTCTCAGCTTGCCTGTCCTTGTTTTACTATATTAGCAAATGGATTTCTGGCAAATGTGATGATACTCCTATCCTGTTGGGAGGCAACTTTTGAGTCTGAAAAGCATTGGATAATATGAGAGAAGGCAAGTCTCATGGAGCTAAATGATCCAGAGTTTTCAGTGCTATGGAGAGGTCTATACTACACTTCTGTTTTAATCCTTCGATAACCCTGGCATTAAGCCTCAGACTCTTGAGTTTGCAGAATATATCCAGGGTTATTGGGCATTGTGCAGTGTATCTTGGGAGTGAACAAATTCAACACGACAGCTGTGATTGTTGCATGGTGGATCTCTGAAGGGTTGTCAAGGTGCTTGCTTGAGCTTCCCTTGTAGACGGTATTTGCTGGATTGATTGATTTGCATACTGAGTACAGCCAGGGGTGGGCCGCTGGGGGTTTGCAGGGGTTTGGGAGAACCTCTAGCTAAGATTCTGGGCAGTTCAGAGAACCCCCAAATCCCACTCTTGGATGATCCCGCCTACCCCACTCCTCCCAGGAGTCCCCACGCGGCCCATTTTGGATGCAGGTAAGGGCAGGGCGCACACGGAGGCTTGGGGAGGGTGAAAAATGGGCTTACTGGAAGTTCAGGAAGGCCAGAAATGGGCCCATTTCCAGCCTCCAGAGCATGGGGAAGGCAAAAACACCCCCACCCCGTAATGGTGCAGGAGGCTGAATAGATCACACCCACCACACCCAGGCCCACCCACCAACCGGCCAGAGATGCCCTTACTAATATTTTCACCCCCAAGTACAGCAGTTAGGGTAACCAGGCAGCTACAGGCAGCAATGTGGGAAATGATTGTGAATTAGATCATGCTTATAGGCAGGATTCCCTCCCATTGAAGGGGAATAGGAAGTAACTTTTTTATTGCGCTGGATTCATTCCTGTGGAGGGAGAAAGAAAAGGGATTTAAAAATTGCCACAAGCTAGCATATTGCTCTTTAATTGCTTGGAGAATGCTGCTTTGTAAAGAAGCCAAAATGAAAGGTTAAAATTCCTTCACTTTTCTCAGAAACCGCGCTTAGGAGTCAAAGGACAAGTGCAGAGTTGCAGAAGACCAATTAGCTAAAATTGCTGAACAAATTGACAAAATTAATACTGCTGGGCAACCCCACATGAAAAACAAACACTACTCTATTACTCAGAACTGAAATTCTAAATCGCGGGAAAAAGAACATGACTGGATGAATCTCTCCAAGAAAATCTGGAACGCCAAGCTTAGATTGAAAACCCATTAAAACAGAATTTAGTATTCATAAACTAGTATGTGATAAAGGAGCTATTAAAAGATGCAGTTCACCAACAGATAAGCAACCGTGAAAAGGACTTTCAGATAACAATGATTTGGCATGGTTTAGATTATTTATTACAAATGAATGAATGAATGTTTATATGGCCACCCAACTCACTCCAAGTGGCTTACAAAGGTTAAAAACCCAATATAAAAACAATAAAAGCCATACCATCCCACCCACCCTCTAGCAACAAAAATAAAATGAGCCGTTTGATGGGCTCCATCCCACTAGAGTCCCCAAGGTCCATTGGCAAAACTAGGTCTTCAGGGCCTTGCAAAAGAATGCCAAAGTGAAGCCAATCTTATCTTAGTCGGGATGATGTTCCACAGGGAGAGAGCCACCATGAATAAAACCCTTCTCTTTGGTCTCGCTAGATGGACCTCTTTAGGAGAGGGAAACCATAGCATTTCCTGCCTCATAGAGGGCTTTGACGGTTAAAACCATCATCTTGAATTTGACCCAGAAGCAAATCAGCAGCCAATGCAGCTGCTACAGGAGATGACATAAATACACATCTAGGCCTGCATAAAACCATGTAAGCAGCCATATTTTGAACCAATTAAAGCTTCCAGACACTTTAATTTTTTGTTAATGTATATGGAAATATAATATAATGAAAATGTAATAAAAGATTTCTTCTTCCTTTATTTTGGATCTGTAAGCAAATCCTTAATGCCTTGTCATTTGATCCTTGTGAACAACAATCCACTTACCAAAAACAACATATGTATTTTAACTTTGAGCAAATAAACCAACCCTATATTCCTTCCCTTTGCTTTTAAGAATCTTTGCTTTGAAGATGTTAATATATTCTCCTTAACTGAACCAAACCAATCCAGCAAGACTCTCAGGATGCAGGTAGTGTCACTTGCATAGCTTGTGTGGAAAATGTGGAAGGTAGTATCAAAGGGCTTTTCCAGAGGGCAGTGAGAATAGGCTTATTCTGGGTTTTGAGTGCAACGTATTAGCAACAGATCTAAACTAAATATTTTTCAGACTATTTCATTTTCCATAAACCAAACACTTTTTAATGAGGTTGAATGGGATGTCTTGCTGACAATCTGAAATGGCACAATGGTACATATCTGATGTTCCAAAAAGTAAAAATATTCCACCATAGTTTGGGATTTGCCAAGATATAGCCATCCTCCTAAAATAAGGAATTGTATTGTATTTTTCTTGATGCAGTTTAGAAGTCCTAGAACCTAAATGTTAATCTTATTTTTTCAGGTTGAAAATACTAATATTTCCTCCTGTTCCAGTGCCCAAAATTAAAGGAATTGATCCAGACCTATTAAAGGTAATGAGAAATTGATTGCTGTTGTACGAAATCAGTATACCTGAAGGTTTGCCAGCATAGCAGGGATGGATTAAATAGTCTAAAATGGCCTACTCTCTAAAGAAAGGTTTTTCCCAATTGTTGCACAAGTTTGTGGAATAAATTTTTACACCTTTATTCAAAACATTATTTCTAGTTAGGTATTGAGATTATTTATTTATTATGTGCCATCAAATTGGTGTCAACATTGGTGACTATATAAATATAAATATAAATAAATGTATAGGACAGTCTGTCTCCAAACTGATTCTTCAGGACTTCCAAGGATGCATCACCTCTGTAATTGTATCTTGTCCTCATCTTCTCTTTCCTTCCACCTTCCCTAATATGATAGACTTCTCCAGAAATAAACATTGCATGTACTGGAACTAAAATGACTCCCAAAAGGAATATTTTGGTTTTTTTTTTCATTACTACTATATTCATGCAGATTTTATTATGGACCTAGTATTAGCTACCAGCACCCTACAACCAACTTTAATAATCCCAAGCCAGAGTTTTGTTTTGTTTTGTCTTTGGCTAGTAATAGCAAAAGACTCAAAAGAGAATAAAACAGAAGGCAGGAACAAATAATATTTATGCTGATTCCCAAATCTCCTTTTCATGAGTCTCTCCAGCAAAGCTAATATTCTTGGACATCTCAGTAAAACTTCTGCTTTCTTCCTGTCAGCTTCTGCCTTGCTGTTGCTTCAGCTGCCATGAAACGGGGAGGGAGGGCTGGTTTTCGGGAGGGGTTAATTGATGTGCTGGAGGAGTCTTCTAGGATGTTCGAGATGCTCGGATGGCGCATGCGTGAGAGCTTCCCGC